TACAACTTTTAGGACTAAGTACACAACACAGAGGATCCATTAGTAGCCAGATGAGACACGTATGTGGAGATTACGTAAAATATCCTCCTCCTTCATTTCTTCTCTTCCTTCTCACTGTCACAACGGAAAACACCGGCCTCTTGTTGCACCTGTTTGTCCCGTTTCTTTTTCGTTATATTTTTATTATCTTCCCTAAAGCTGGACCTGGCAGCTGCTGCCACCCCCCGCCCCTCCCTCCACAAAACAGAAGCTGATTTATGAATCAGTTTGTTCCTTCTGCTGTCATTAATGCATTCCTGGAAGGCACACACACCCACACACACCTCTCATTGCCGGAGATGGAGAGCGGGATTTTAATTTGTTTTGATCGAGTAATTAAGTCTCATAAACAGCTCAATCTTGTCGTGTTTTTATGGAAATATAAATACACAGCCACGCGTTTTCTGTTTGTTTGGACGAAAGTTAAAAAAGACACAACAAAGTTTAATGATGTGCTGTTTTTTATCCCAAATCACAACACAAGTAGATGTGGCCAAACCCTCACCATCATTTGCTGTGGTTTGAAATATTAAACACGCTGCTGACAATAGACACTCCAAATATGAGAAAATGAGTGAAAAATATCCGTATAACCACATATGCTGCATCAAATTATTTTGTGTGCTTATTCAAAATGTTGAATTATTAACTTGGAAAAATGGCCTGAAACCACAGTGAAAATCAATAAACATAGATTTTGAATTGAACTTTTTAAAGTTTTGTAAGCCCTAAGGACACACAACCACACAGCCCTTAAAACATATTTTCAAGTATTGAATAATTGAACACATTGTCTGCCCAGGGAAGGTATATAATATATAATACTGTATATATAAACTTTACACATTAAAGTAACAGATGTTTTCAAAATCCACATGAAAACATAGAAGCAGGTTGTGTGCGTTGCTACCTCTTAGGACCTTCTCCAGACCTTTGCAGGACCAGTGGACCTCATGGGGACCAAGGCCCGGTCCTAATGAGGTACAACTTCACTTCTGAGGTCCTGGTTAAGGTCCACAAAGAATGGAAGTCAAGTTGCTGTACCTTATATTTTAAAACATCTGTGACACACAAAGTCAGAGACACACACAGTGAACCTGCAGTGATCCTCTGTGATTTTGCTGCTCTCTATAAAAAACTCTTGAACTGTGGTTGTACTACTGTGGGGAACAGAGAGGCTTTGTCAGTGAGCTGTTGTTACAGATCCAGCACAAAGCTCCTTGTTCATTAAGCCCATCAGTGTGCCCTCTCCCACTGCTGCAGTTTCTTCTCCCAGGGTCTCTGGCTTCCACAGTTTTGGCTCAAAGACCAAGAGATTTGGCTCCTGCAGAGACAGTAGCTAGAACATCAGGGTGTGTTATCAGGGCAGTGGCTGCAGGTCGTGAATCCAAGTGCAGGTTTTAATAAACTAGAGCAGTTCAACAGGAACATATTTTCCTTGATGCTGAACATCTTGTGTTCTGCAGTTTGAATGTGGCCGAGTGTGGTGCGGATTTTGAATATATAGAAAAGAGAATTCATCAACATTCACTCCCTGAACAGAAACTTGATAAACTGATGTACAGTATGAAAATGAAGTTGAGGATTGCAACCTTTACAACGCAGTGAATCATTGTGAGAAGGATTACATGAACTGTGTCACCTGAAATCACAGTAGAACAACTTCTTCTAAAATGCAAATGTGCTCGTGAGTTTTGGTAGCACATCTACTGTCTGTTTCCATGGGAACATCCTCACTGGGGAAACACTTGGTCAATAGATGTAGATACAGACTCCAGAGGCAGCAAAGCATCACTATTGGTGACCCTCCTCAGGTCCCCCTGCTTGGCTGCATTCTGTAACTCATTACTTCCTTTAAAGGAACAGAGCACTGGCTCGAGGCAGGACAAGAAAGATAAAGAAAAACGATGCTTATCAACTGATGTCTGACTTGGAGTCACAGTGTACAACAGCGAAAATCCCAATGACATTTCCACATACTCAAAAATAGATGACTCCCCAGGAGCCCTGCTGATGGAGGGGCACTTTGCCAACACTGATGTAACAACAGGGCATCAAACACCAGCCTAGTCAAAAACATCAAATTCAGCTGGTTGTCAAAAAGTCCCCTTCATTTTCTCATTTTTAATGAGTTTCTGTAAAAGGCACAGTTGCAACAAGCAGCTTGTGGAAGCACAGAAGCTTATTGCTCTGGTATGATGGTCATCCACTTTTTGCACCCTTCATCCACCCCCACCACCTCCAGAAATGTCACTGCTGTTAGTAAATGCTTTATTTATTCAACAAATACTTTGGCTCTGGAGATGATGCAGACAATTACTAGGTTTCCTACACAACACAGCATTTTCTTTATCCAACATAGATTTGGTTCAACCTGTACGGATGATGATGGCACACAAACTTTGCCAAAGGAAATGAAAAGAAGCTAAATGACAATTGGCAGCACAGTCATTGTCCATAAGAAACCAGATGTGGTCCAGCATGTTTGGCATGGACCTGATTAGGACAACCACACTGACTGCATAGCGCCCACAGTGAAAGATGGAGATGGCAGTGTGCTGAAATGTGTGAAAGCAAATCATGTCGGGGGAAAGTGTTGGAAGGAAAAAAACCCCCACTTCATTAGTCCACAGATGCAGCCGCCCGTACCTTTTCAAATGGAAGCTTACAGACACATTTCTGAATTCATGTCACTGGCAGCCTCATAAAAAACCAAGACTGTCAACTCTCTGCTGTGCGCTACCTCTAAACCACTTAACCCCCTCTGCACAGCTTCCAAATCCCATAACCCACGCCTACCTACACTTGGTGGTAACATATAAACAGCCACCCCCCACCTTACTCTACAACACGTTGTAGGAATCAGGGGGGCTCACCTCCTCGAGAAGCCAGAAAACAAAATAGGCGTCTTATTCAAGAGTTTGCCCCAGGGAGAAGCAGCTGCAGTCAGTTTAAGACTTGTAGGTAGTAAAATGTTAATGTGACTGGGATTTAAAGTTCAGAAGCAGCTTGGTTACTTAGTAATGAAGTGAACAAACTAGAATTTTATAAATGGTAAATGGACTTAAAGATCATTCTCACAAACTTTAATGCAGCTCTTCTACACCCAGTGTTTGCATTCATACACTGTATGGCCATTGTTTTAATAATTTTGCCCAGGAACACTTTGTAGAATGCAGACTGGAGGAGCCAGGGATCGAACCATCATGCCTCTGGTTAGTGGACGACCCTCCTGAGCCCTCCTAGGCTAACGTCAGTTTCCACTCAAACAAATCCATTGTGACTTCTGAAAAGAGCAGTTTGAAATTGTGAACTGGTTCCCATAGGACTTCAGGCTGTCTGCAGCATTAACCGCTTCAGTGGATCATCCAGGTCATTATGTGAAGGAACAGCAACAAATGGAGCAAAGGGTTAATTAAGTCATAGCTTTGACTTCAGTTATGATTTCCAATCATTAGAGCCATATGGATTACAAACAGCCAATCAAGTTCAAGCAGTCACACTGCACGGTTCAGTCTTTATTGCCTGACATTCAACACAATACTGGCATTAATTCTACCTGCAGAATCCTTGTTGCTGATCCTTCTCTCCCAAACCTCATTTACTTTGAATGGTTCATTCTTGAACTTTAATGACTTTACTAAAGGAATAACATTGGTGGTGGTGCTCCACTGAAACCTTTGTAGCTTTGTGAAATTGAAATGCTTAGGTTTTCACTGGCATGAAACCAAAATGTAAGAGAGATGGGATTAATAACGGACATGCACTTTTTCGTTGTGCTGTTCAGCATTGCTTGAGCTGCTATGTTTCCATTGTGTTGTCATGAGCTGTTTATTATGGTACAGGGTGTTTGTATAACAGGTGGCACATAGAGCACAGGACAGTTTGTTCTTGCTTCAACAGAAAGATGAGGACATGCGACTTAATTCTACTTCTAATTTCTACTTAATTATTTCTTTATCTGAGCAAAAAGTTCTTGCAGGATATTTGACAGCCTTATCATCATCTTGTATCTTGTTATTAAGAAGTTGAGTCCTCCAGCATTTCTGAGCTGCACAGTACGATGTTTACAAGATGGACATCACGCACCTTTATCTCTATCGGGTACGTTTTGATTTTCTTATTGCACACAATGTCTGCTTGTTGGACGGATCTTAATTGTGCTCCTCTAACTGAAACGCTGAATGCATGTGTTAGAAATACTCAAATCCAAAAGAGCATTCAAGCAATTAATCTAGCAGTATTGATGTCCTCCCCTCCCATGTGAGATGTAAGTATTAGTTTCAAAACTGCTTCGACATCAACATTCAAACATGGTTCGCTTGGTTTCTGGAGGATTTAAAAAAAGGCTCTGATGGCCACTCTGAACGTGAAAGTCAATATTTGTTCTTAAGGAGCCCAAATAGCTTCAATTTTCACTTTCAAAATGAGATGGAATGTGTCTCATTAGAAATACAGACACAAACGTTCCCTCTGTTAAGAAATCTCTGGGTGACTGTGTCTCGCCTGCTAAAAATGCAAACACCAGTTGATGAAGCATCTGAATCGTTTTTTTCAGTCAGTTTGTGTTTGTTTGAATATATGAGCCATTGCTTTCCTTGTCTCCTCCTCACAAATATCCTCAAATAAAGACATTTGTCTGGGTTTTAATCTTGTTTGAATTGTAGTCTTTTCCAGATCACATGCACTGATCTGCTTTAGTTTCATTAATATAAACTGTGTCCCTCAACAGTTATGGTTCTAATGGTAAATTTACTGGCTTACTTGTGTCTTTTACATCTAGTATTTTGTCTTTAGTTTATCTTTGGAAGTAACCTACCAGTCTGTCAAACACAATATGAAATCCTCAGTAAATTAAAGTGATTGTGAAGGATGCGACTGGATAAACACATCAGCAGCAAAACAACACCAAGACGTATTGATAGAGACGAGCTTAAAACCTTTCAAATTCTTCTGGTTTATGCTGTGACTACCTTGTTGCAGCCCAGGAGCAGTAAGATGTGGTATGGTAATAGATGGGACAAAATGCAAATGTCCCTTGATAATGCTTTAGTCACAGTGATAGACATTGTTGCTGTCACAATCAGTTAAGGGTGGGAGAGGATGGACGCTGAGCTTCAGAAGATGGACGGCCTCTGAAACGAACCTGACCATCCAACAAACAATCGTCCGTTCTCCATGTCAGGCAGCAGAGACACCTGTCAGAGGAGAGTTATTTAAAGGGTGTGTGCAGCCTGTCTGAGTGTTTTTAGCCTGCAGAATGAAAAACACTTTTGGAGCAGATACAGAGTATGAGGCATTTCGGCTTTTTGATATTTATTGTGTTGAAGCAGAAGATTAATGTGAATCGTAGACAGAATCTTGTGTGCTTCTAAATCTCTGGCCACATCTGGAGCATCGTCACCGCGTGGCAACCTCTTACCTTTTTCAAATGAATCACTCTGTAAATAATTATCACGTGAAACATCACATTCATTAGTGGCTGTTGTTTGCTGTCAGCGCTCAGTCTGTTGCAGCTCATAAATGCACCTGTTGTTTGAGATGCCTCGTGTGTCACTCACAGTCTGTTCAGCACAGTTGTTTCTTTGTTCAAACTCTGTCAGTCTTTTTATACATTTCACTTTTCAGCCTGTGATGTTTTATTAAAGTTTCCTTTTGCCATTTACCTGGGATTCATCAGATGTTTCTTAAAAGAAGTTTGACAGTTACACATCACAGATTCTATCCACCCTTCGCTCCTTGGTCTGACGGGTTGTTTGGATGAATTGTGAAAGGATAACATTGAAGAGGGAGATTGCATGTTTAAAACAGATTTTCATGCATAGGCTCCAAGGGTCCATGTCACCCATGTAGAAAAAGGGGATAACATGGTTTAGAAAAAAGAGCAGAGTGGAGTGATTTGCACCTGTGCCTGATATTGCTTCTCTAGTGATCCTTGCTACACTCACAACAGCGATGACAGTCGGTGGACATCTAACACGACGGCCTGCAGAGAAACAGAACCCTCGTACCCTGAACGCTCATGCTCGGCTTTTACTGTCTCACTTCGACACAACACTCTGCCCATCACAGGATCCAGTTGGCTTACAAGAGGACCTGGAGATGAGAGAGGCGGGATTGAACTGTCAGACCAGAAACAAAGCAGAAGCAAAACAATGGCCAAAAAACATTGGTCTGGACAAAAACAGCCGATGAGATCACGTGCAAACACAAGGAAATAATTAGCTTTGACTAATTTATAATTTACCTTTGGCTGGCGTGTAACTATCGGGCCCACCATCAAGCAAAAAGTGTGAAAGTTAAAATCCCTTCCATGACTGAAGGGAAAAATCCTGATTTGCCACTTCAGAGGACTGCTCTTGGAATGTGTAGCGCATGGTGTGCCAGACTTTTACTGGCACATCTTGGCTGGTTATTTTTGAATAGAGGGACAGTTAATGCCAATGGTTTGCTCTATATTGAAAAATCAAGTAATAGCACTTGGTCTGCACCACGTCTGCTGCAGAACACAATAGAAATTTAAGTATAGATCACGGAGAATGAAACATGAGACTGATGAAATGGTAATATCAGAAAATAAATAACTAAAGCATCCCAGAACATTGATAACTTATGAAGTAATACAGAAATGAAAATGAGTCAAAAATCAAGACTTCACTGTGTATGAGGCTTTGAAAAGTTCGGATATACTTAAGCCGCTGAGCCAAAGTAGGATCAATGCAATATACTTCTCTCAGGCTGCTGCATTGTAGAGTAGCTGTTGACCTTGTTGCCAAGAGAACAGAGATCTGGAGAAGTCTTATCCAGAGATGATGGATACCTATATATCAGCTTTTTCTAAAGTGATAGAAATATATAAAGAAGTTTCAATAGATTTCTTTTTGTAATTGGCTAGACTGAGGGAATCCAATAGTTTTTGGAATGTGGTTCCAAGTGGTTGGAATTGCAGGTAGAGCAGGACGTCATCAGCGTAACAGAGGAAAGAGACATTTTCATTAGTAAAATAAATTTGACTTCAAAGAAAACAATAATGGAGCCCAGGATTGGGTCCTGGGGATTCTCCTAATTTAGAAACAGCGAACATGAGATACCACTTTAAACCATGTGCCTATCAATATATTATTATTATTTCTGTGCAGCTTAATAGCAAATATACATTCATCATACAAATATCTACTTAGGGCTTAGCTTCAATGTTGGAAATACAAATGTATAACGAACAGCAAGGTTTCAGCTAAATAGGGATAATAAGATAGGAAACCATTGTTTTGACGAAACAATGTCCCCTTGACGTAAAGGCTATGGTCTAGTCACTACTTGTACAGACAGTTGCTAAATCCATGGACGGGATACTTTCTGACAACATGAGCTCTTTTCAAATCAGTGAGATTTCAGTATAAGATGCAAACAACTGCAGAGGAGCTCCATATAAGGTGAGGCTCAGACAGCCATCTGAGAGTGGCCTCAGTTTAGGGATTTCTCAATAGAGTCTGTCAGCTTAGAAAAGTCCTTTAAAAAGAGACTCCTCTGCAATCTCATTTTCTAAAACTACTGAACGTGTTCCTCTGTTATTTTATTTTGTATTGTTTGGATCTGCGGAGAATATCTGTCTTGTCTTTTCTGCTGTGTCAGGAAGGATGTGTTTCTTTGAAGCTAAGATAGTGAGCTTAAGTAGCGGCTGTGGACCAAACAAACCCAATCTAGTTCAGGATAAAACTCCAATTGAAGTATTGGCATCACCCAGAAATACCTGCAGGTATTTATGTCGATGTTTAACCGTAAATACATTAAGTAATTGACAATTGTAGCATCAATGTTATCCTCCTGAAATGAAGTTCCTAAGTCGTCCGTTATAGACTTGAAATGTATTACACGTTTTATATCTATTAATGCATCGGTCATTTACTAACAGATTGCTTTGATTTGTCTTTTTAAGTAATTAAAATGTCAGGCCTGGTTGACTTCATAAATCTGAAATGAAGAGGATTTACCTTTCATTCCAACTGGTCTCCCACCTCCATCTTTTATCAGGGCCCCTATCCTCTAAAGCTTTTCTCTAATAAACACTTCAGAACAGAATAAAGCCTGGACCAGAAAAGGGATAACCAAGCAGGGAGTGAGGGATTGTGGTTAATCTCTAAGGGAGCTGCGGAGGGGAGACGGACGGAGAAATAGGAAGGAAGGAGATGAGATAAGGTTTGCAACTGTAAGACGATGTTTTGACCTCATGTTAATGTGCAGAACCCCCGAATCTCTAGCAACTACATTAGTTGCACATCTATGGAATCCTGTAAATCATTGCAATGAAAAACACAACTTTGTACCTCAAAATAAAGAGTATCTCAAAATGACTGTTACTCAATATAATGAATTAGACTACTATCTCAAAATAATGATTTATTATCTTAAAGATAATAACTTACAAACTTAAAATAATTCTAACTATGTCATAATTTCGAGTAACTATCTTACAATTTTATAATTCTGCTCATTTTTGCATCATTGTGTGTTACTTATTATTTTGCAACTTTCTATCTCATTATCATGACCCGTTATCTCATAATTTTGACTTCTATTTTTCTTTCACTGTCAGAAATGAGCTTCCATACATTTCCAGTTTCAGGCCACTGCAGCTCATTGCACATCCTTGATAACAATATTGTGCAAAATGGCCCAAATGCAAAGAATCCTCGACACTTTAAAATATGAGCTCGTCTGTGAGTTTGATTATCAAAAGTAAACACTGATTTTCTTGAATACTGCAGGTATTTAAATAACTGTAGCATGTTTACTTTCGTGCCAACAGACAAAGTCTGTCAGGTGTCCCTCAGGGACTCAGGAGGCAAAGACCACTGCTGTAGGTCATTCATCATTCCGGCTGTTATCTCTCCTTTCTATCGTTCCAATCTCTCTTTCTCTGTTCCCTCTCTCTTTCAGTCCCCACATGAGATGTTATCTCGAACCTCTTAATCAGGTTACCAGTCACAGCTGTTTATGCCCCTGGGAGGACTGAGTCTTGTCGACTGTCAGGACACATTGTTCCACCGGTGAAGAAGAGGAGATGAAGAGATTAGGGGGCGCACTCACAGCGTTACCAATGCCTCTGAAAAGACAGAGGGATACAGGGGAAAACGGGGTGATGGAGGACGATAGAGGAGAGTGTGACTGAGAAAATGTAAGTTGAAGCCAGGTTGGTCAGGTGCCACCGTCTGTGATCTCAGCATGTTTGAAAATGGCTACAGCAGCGAGTCTCTTGCTGCAGTTTCTGCATCTGTTGTTTTAAGTGGATGCTCCCTCGATGACACCTAATCAATCTCTGTTGTGTTGTTTTAGAGGCAGTTAGTTTCTCAGCAGCATTCTGCAGCACCGCCAGTGGATCATGAATTTTTAATGCTTTTTTTTTTTTCTCCCTTGATGAACAACATTAGCACGATGCCGGTTAGATGTGGCCCACTTTATCATCTCGCTCCCCCTTTTGTTTCTGTTTCCTCCGCCCGGCCTCCCACCACCTGCTCCCCCATTTGTGTGGGACTGACGGCAGCAGGATTATTGGGTTTTATGTCCAATATCTGGGCTCTAGTTGTTAATAGAAGTGTTTCAGCACTGTGAGAACTGTTGCTGCAGAGATTGTTGGTTAAAGTGTTGAAAGGTATTTGTGTCACTTGCCACAACATCGATGGTGTCTTATCTTTCACAAAACCAAACAACATCAGTCACGGTAAACACAGTAATTAATATGCTGTCAACCAACGCTTTTCTGTCTGTGTGCACAATCAGATGGGACCTGTGACAAACTGACTATCAATCTAAACTGAGAAAAACAACAGTAAAACGTTGGTAGGTTTTAAGGTGCTGGTTTGACCCTCAAGAAGAATTTGGGGCTCAGTTCTTAGAATCAGACAATTCAATATGCAGAAGCGAGATGCTGGAGATCGAACCACCAGCCCTCTATCAGTGGATAACCCACTGCTCCTCCTGAGCCACAGATGAACTAACTATGCAGAGCATAGCATGCAACAGTCATAACCTAGATTGCAAAGCAATTGTTTTTTCTTATCTTTTGGCAATAACAGTCATTACCTTTTATTTATGTTTCGTAAGTGTGGAAATAACATTTTAAATACATTATTAAGAGAAATGTCAATTTAAAACAATAACTGTGGTCCTGACTCGTTAACATTAACTCACACCTAATGAA